TGCAAGACCAACAATCTATCCCTATATACGATTATGTTAATGGGTAGTCGGAATTTCAAAAAAAAAAATTAATCAAAATAACATTTCCGTGATAGCGCCACTATGTTTGCTTTCAAGTTGTTAAAATTATAGGTTTACCAAAGAAATGGGAAGTTACTGTAATAGATTCTTATTCAATTTAAAAAAAAAAATATCTGCAATTAATTAATACAAGTCATATTAATTCGTTGAAATTGCTCGCATTTGGTATATTCCTAATCCTGAATTTAATTTCTTTCACCAATTTGTTATCTCTTAGTAATGAGACCATAATAATCTTTTTTTTCTATCATCATAAACCCAATCGGCGTTCAACAATAAACAACAAAAAAAAAAACCCAAAAAATAACAGAGATTCAACTATAATTATTAATCTTTTCATAAACAACTAAAATATGAATGTAGTAATAAAATTTAAAAATATGAGCCAAAACAATAACCTAGACATTTATCTTTAACATTCAATACAAAAAGTAGTATCAATTATTATCACGTAGGAGTCACTTACAAAATGAAACCATGTAAATGCTTAAGCCACGTGAATGAAACAATAAAGCCTATCTTAAAGGTCATTAAGGGTGTACATTTATATCCCAAGCATACCCTAATGACTTATTAATCTCCACTTCTACCTGCAGTAATCTGAGAAAGAAATTACAAAACAAATGTATGCCTTGCAACGGACCACTCAAAGAGTTGTTGCAAGGGTTTTTAACGTGCAGAGAGCGTGGCACGTTCTCTACACGAGGCATCGAATTAAACGCCCCATTATGACCGGACGTGACTGCGTATTTATACATCCAGTACAACAAAACAGACGCCCCGCTTTTGCATGGGTTTGACTGGTGGTCAGAAAAAGACAAAAAGGGACAAAGTTTCTATTCCCTAGTTACCAGATGCATTGGTGATTGGCTTCTAAGCATTCAGTTTGATTACTAAGAACCTTTTTTGATGTTTTTTTTTTAAATGTCTCATGTTTTCATAAAGTATTTGCGCATCTGACGAGGAAAGTTTAACTAAAAATTGATCACAAATTACACTTGTAGTTTAAGTGAAAAAAAGGAAAACAATTTGTTAATGTATACGTATAGATGGAAGTGATTTCTCAAATAATGTCTTTTCAAAGACTAAACCACAGGAACCCTCCGCCACTATTGACATCCATTGTGTTGCTTGTAGCAAATAAAAATCCGATAACAATTCCCATTCTGTGATGTAAACGTGGGCGAGATTGTGGTTTCAAGGGAAACATATATTCCATAACGGTTAACCAAACAAACCCTGTGTCTGTAAAACTTTCGGAATGAAGTTCAATATTACTATGAAGAAACCTTAGTTTATTATTTTTATTGTAAGAAGCAACCTTCTATCAAGGTATTTATTGAGAGAATATCCCCCATAAGCTTCTACTGTTCTACTTGGAAAGTTTACAATCAGAAAAACTTTTGTCTTTTGTCGCAAAGATTTATTCCCGAAGATACGAAGCAGTCCTAACTGTATCTAATATCCTTCATTTCAAGATATCAGTTGGAAAGATACTTTCAACACAGTCACACAACTGTATCTCTGTACTGATACGTGAGTAAAACGATAATGCAATCCCCTTTTCATTATTCTTATAGAAGCCCCCCCCCCCATACGAAGTGTGTCTCATACTAAAAAAGGAACTAATTTACGAGAAGACGATCAAAGTTATTAAGTATATTAAACAATTAACAATATATATTGCTTTTATGTTAGTGAAAAGATAAAGAATTAGTAGTTTGACAACCCAAAGTATTTCCATTAAAAATAGCCAACGTTCGAAGTTGAACGATTAGATATGCGGTTTTTATTTATATGTAAGAGAAAAAAATAAAGGCATATTTCATATAATTAAATAATTGCAATCATTTACAAATATCACAAATTCTTATGTCTTGGTTTGCTTGATGCCAATCAAACATCATTGCAAAAATAATGAAGTCTCCATGATGCCTTGATACTATAATGGTTTCGATACATCTGTTTTCTTTTAATTTGAATTCAGATGAGACATACCTCATATGTTCAATGTAATTGTATTTGTTATATTATTTATATATTTCGTAGTACAAATCGGTGGGAGAATAAACCAACAGCATAATATGATGATGAATTCATCGTTTGATTCCCTTACTTACATTATTTACTTACTGGTGGCACATTTGGAACAGGATCTGATTACCCTTCAGGAGCACTTGAGATCATCCCTGGGTTTTGGTCGGGTTCGTGTTTCTCAGTCTTCAGTTTTCCATGTTTTCTATACTGTTGTTTGTCTTTTTATCGTTTTTCGTCTTTTGACATAGTGTCAGATTGCCATCAACTTAGGAGTTTTAATGTCGTTTTTGATATTTTCCGCCTCTCTTTTTATGTCTGATCAACCACAAAATCCTAGGCCTGGACTTATCCCAACCGACAGTTAAACCAATTATAAAGGAGTGAATCCGTGTGACTGTTAGGATGTAATAATAATTTTCTTCACTATAACCATCCAGCAAATACATGTCCGAATAACAAAGTGTTAATATATTTACATATAAGTGTTATCATTTATCAGCAAAAAGGTTTTGGCAATTAAATCAGAATAAAAGATAGTACAGCGGTTCATATTGCCATACAAAAGTAATGACAAGGCATCAATTTGATGACAGAAAAATAGACGTAATTAAGATTTCATTCCAAATCCATAACTTTAAAACATCTTCTGAAAGTATTACTGTATCTAAATAATTGGACATAATGACACTATTCCTGTTTATTAAAACTAATTGACCTTTTTAGAACAAGTAAACAGATAAAATCATTATTTATTACTTCTATGTAAATCAGATATAGTCGTCTCATATCTTCGTGGCTAACGCCCCTCAGATATGAGAAGACTACATCTAGTACTTATATATTTTTATATCTGACTTTAGACAAATATTCGAAACGTAAAGGGTACAGGGATGAACATGCAATAAAAGTTGGTTAATAGATAGCTCCCACCGCGATAATGTAGACATTACAGAATAAAATTAAACAGTTACATTAATTTATCTAGTGTTAATTAACGCATCAAAGATTGCTGGCAGTTGATGTGGCTGAAAGTACCAAAAACTACTGATAAATAAATTATTCTTAATAGTACACTCTGACACAGTTTTCGTTATAAGTTATGATTACATGTACAAAGAGTTTAGAAGAATCTTTAAGAAATAACCGTGCGCTCGTTTTATACTGCTTTATTGTTAATAATAAATATTACACGTTTTTTTATGTTTTACACTACAGTTGACCTAGTAAGATTGGATGAAAATATTTAACATAAAATATGATAGCAATTTTAGTGATTTATTACGTCAAAAAATGACTACAAAGTTAGTTCATACTTCGATCTTTTTTTAAAAAAACATGTTGTTGGCAGTTTTGGGGAAACTGTCAAAGTCAATGAAAGTAAAACTATATACCCAGTTGTATAAAACTCAAGTAGTTTTTTTGCGATTCTGTTATAAGAATTGGAGCCAAGACGATAGTCCGTACTATTGGTCATAACAGATTCCCCTATTTGAAATGTGTATATTATTGTTTCAAAAAGGAATACCTCGGAAAAGTTAAAATATTTAAAAATTCGACCAGTATGTTCATGCACCAATTAATTGAATTAATCTGTAGTCTTCTAATTAGAAACCTGCTTTTGTATCTACATATTAATAACATTAGGAATAAAGGATGTACACTTTTTTAGTAGTTTAATCAAACACCATAAAGCTCACAAATATTTACACATCTAGAGATTACCATGCGAACGGACATTAAGCAAGCGCTTAGAAGCTAGGAAGACAGGCTCTAAGTATTTTGTGAATGAAATTTACAAAATTGACAGAAGAAAAGCCATAAAGTATGAGTAATAAAAAGAATACGATCTGACAAAAAATGTATTTTTTTCAGAAAGCCCCTTTCTCAAAAATGTTTCTCCATATTGTATTTCGTAACCTATCTTAATAATTCGAGGTTTTTTAAAGATTCATGTACAATGTACGTAAAAAAAAAGTGACTACAAAAGATAAAAGTTACACCAATAAAGTATTAGTAATAAAAAGAAAACGATAATTTTTTGTGCTTACTTAATTTCAAACATTAAAAAAAAACGCTTAAAATTCAGATAAAAAAAAAGATACATTCATTCAAATTTAAAAGGGATCTGACAAAAAATGTATTTTTTTCAGAAAGCCCCTTTCTCAAAAATGTTTCTTCATATTGTATTTAGTAACCAATCTTAATAATTCGAGGATTTTTAAAGATTCATGTACAATGTACGTAAAAAAAAAGTGACTACAAAAGATAAAAGTTACACCAATATTTATCAAATAACCAGTTGGTAAAATATGAATCTTGTTTGAAAAGGTTCAAGGAAAGTGTGTGTACAAAGTAGAGATATGTAACTGTCAACGGAGAAAACAGACCCTATAAAAAACGTAGATTTTCAAAGACTTCCAAAGAATTTTTAACATTCCAGAAATAGTAAAAATTGCTTTTATTACAGACTTTGTCATATTATAAGATAACAAAATTATTTAACGATTGTAAGAGCACTGGTAAGTAGAACAGAAATATTTGTAATTTAACAAATACGGTATTCAAATATATAAAAAAAAGAAATGCCTGTACTAAGATAGGAATATGCCTGTTGTTTTCCGTTCGTTCCTTTGGTTGGTATAGTGGAGAGTAATGATCTTGTCAGGTTTTATGGACCCCCCCCTTGAATATACTTAGGGAGTTCGATATTTTTGTTCATACTTTTTTGCAAGTTTTTTTTTTTTTTATATAATTTAGAAAACCAACGCATAGTGGGAATCTTGTGTATAAGTAAATATACTTTTGCTGAAAACGGTAGAAATGGTAGTCAAATGTAATCTACCTTGTAATAAGTTCATTGCAAGTTGATATCTGTTTCTTACCTTGAGCAAAACTGTTGACTTTACAGAAAAAAGATCCAAGTATCCATCCTTCTGACAAATCGCTTACAAGGTTTACCCAAGTACAGGACAAAGTCACCAATAAATCTGAGGCGGCTAAATTCACAATGTAAAAATTAGTAGTTGTCCTCATCCGTTTGTTTTTCGCAACTACTAGAATTATAAGAATATTTCCAACGACGGATACCAGTATCATTAAGGAATATACAAATATTTTCAGACTCGCTTCCCATAATGGAATTTTTCTGAATTCTTTAGGATACGGATGTAGTCGCGAATCTAAAATGTCCATCGTCGTCCTTTCGAAGGACATTGTGTTAGTTCCAAAATAATCAGTATCCAAAGAGTAGTTGGAAACGTTTGTTTCAAATCCGCTCATTTTGATAAATGGGAAAGATAATAGTTCTGTTTCATTCATTTTTCCACCTGTTGGCCTTATTTAGTAAGCACATCTTTAAAACGCAATAATTAATTACACTTCAAAAAAGTTTCTTAATATTATCAACGGAAATCTGACAGTTAAAGAATTCAACCTGATTGAAGTTAATCTATTTGATGAAACAGTTTATGAAACTGCTGAATCGTAAAAGTTGTACTACAGTCAAATGTGTGAACAATTTTTCCAATAAAACTATTATCCGAACCCTACGATTTGTAAGTGGGAAAAGATTGATGTCACCACATAACCTATAAACAATGCAAGTCGACAATTTGCCATAAGTGAACCATCGATCTACCAATTATATTATCCAATCTGAAATGATCTATTAACCGATCATATACATTAAACGTAACGGGACACCATCCTTTTTCTGAATCAAGAATATAGTATTAAGTTCTCAAATAATTTCCGGTTTCTTCTTTTCGTTTCTTTATCAAGGCAATCAAATCATACACAATATCTTTGGTTTTTTGTATATCGAAAACTTGTCTGTTTATATATATATATATGTGTATATATTACACTCATTAGCTAATTTAACTTACATTCTTAGGTATTTATATTTGGGATTATGTTAAAGAGTTTATTATATAACTATATACATGTATATAGATATAACTAGAGGCTCTCAAGAGCCTGTTTCGCTCACCTTGGTCTATGTGCATATTAAACAAAGGACACATGACAAAATTGTGTTTTGTTGATGGTGATGTGTTTGTAGATCTTACTTTACTGAACATTCTTGCTGCTTACAATTATCTCTATCTATAATGAACTTGGCCCAGTAGTTACAGTGGAAAATATTTTGTATAAATTTACAAAAATTTACAAATTTTATGAAAATTGTAAAAAATTGACTATTAAGTGCAATAACTCCTTAAGGGGTCAATTGACAATTTTGGTCATGTTGACTTATTTGAAGATCTTACTTTGCTGTACATTATTGCTGTTTACAGTTTATCTCTATCTATAATAATATTCAAGATATTAACCAAAAACGGCAAAATTTCCTTAAAATTACCAATTCAGGGGCAGCAACCCAACAACGGGTTGTTCGATTCATCTGTATTAGATAGATCTTGACCTGATAAACAATTTTATCCCGTCAGATTTGCTCTAAATGCTTTGGTTTCAGAGATATAAGCCAAAATCTACATTTTACCCCTATATTCTATTTTTAGCCATGGCGGCCGTCTTGGTTGGTTGGCCGGGTCACCGGACACATTTTTTAAACTAGATACCCCAATGATGATTGTGGCCAAGTTTGGTTAAATTTGGCCAAGTAGTTTCAGAGGAGAAGATTTTTGTAAAAGTTGACGGACGACGAAGGACGACGAACGCCAAGTGATGAGAAAAGCTCACTTGGCCCTTTGGGCCAGATGAGCTAAAAATGTATTAGTTATTTTTTAATACAAAATGTATACTTAGCTTTTATCATTTAATATTTTGCGTTTACTGTATGTCTGAAAGTATATTAAAACTGTCCTCCGGTTCAGCTGTTTGTATCTACTTAAAGACACACAGAAGAAAATATTTGAGACATACATGTTTTTTTGTTTTCGCTTTGATATTCTATCAATTGATAATTGACATTGGGATGTTATTATTTTGACATTTTTGCTTAAAGATATATTTTATTTAACAATCAATAAGAGGAAAAATAAACTGTAAAAAATAAATATATCCGCGTATTGCTTATATTGTCTGTGTGTTAGATACTTTTTGTACCAGGCTGGTTATCCTCATAGCATGTCAGTTCTTTTCCAGTTTAGAATAATAATAAACATACATACAGTTTGTTTAATTAAAAACTCATCCTTATTGATATTGTGTTGGATACAACTGTGCTTAGATAAACAAAATAGCGAATTTTACATTTTTGTACCTGCAGCTATTAGTTTTACTGATAACAAAATTCCGAAGAAATATCAGAAATATTATAAAAGATTTTGCGGTATAGAAAGATGAACGGCGTTACATTAACACATTAGTGGTATTAATTAAAGCGAACGTTTTAATTGAGTGTATTCGCATTCGCTATGTAACGTTAAGTACGGAGATAAAATGTTTTTAATCAGCTCCACAGCAACCACTGAAATTGCATTACTGGGTTAACAATGAAGATGGTTTTGTTTTCAGATTTAGGTTAGAAAAGCAGTCGGATAATTTGTGACTCGACGATTATATTCTAAAGAAAATTAATCTCATTTCACTAGATTTTTTTTTTTATTAATAAGCGACTGTTATGTCCCAATAACGTTAAAATATTTTAAACAGAACAAATAAATTATATAAATATGCATCTGCATTTAAGTATAGATATAATATACTACTCTAAAGAAGAAACAACTTTCAAATATTATGCATTGAACATATATTTTTTTTTTAATTTGGTCACGTCCTGAATTTAAAATAAATAATTTCCACTGGACGTTAAGCAAGCAACACATTTTGTTTGCTGAGACATTTTTATGCTTTAACTTGGATGCATCTATATTACTAAATTAGGGGACCTGATTTTGTTTGTCGCTCCTCGTCTGCCACATAAAATCAATCAATGGCTCTACCCTAATGGTACTATGAGAACTGAATTGTGTTATCCTCTTTAACGAGTATACATTTTGGGTTAGTAGGGGGAATAATTTGGAAAACAAAATGATTTCCGGAGGTCTTATCCGTCATAACCATCGATTTCGGATTGTATGCCTTCTAATCCCGGGTGACTGCCCATCAATTCTCGGGACTCTAGAAAACTCGGCCTTTAACAAAATCGCCATTAAGATATTGAGTTTCAAATAACTTGGATATATTTATATATTTCGTATAAGAATGTCACATTCAGGGGGAGTGGTTTAATTTTATTCATATATCTAGGAATACATCTACCACAGCACGTGATATCAACCTGGTTTTTGATGGAATTGGTCAAGCGCAGTCTTTAGTTTTCTATGTTGTATTTTGTATACTGTTCGTCGTTTGATCGCTTTTCGTGTTTTGCCATGGCATTGTCAGTTTGTTTCAAGTTTTAATATCTCTTCAGTATCTTTCGCCTCTTTTCTAAGCCTGTTCAGATATTCAAAGCACGTATAAAACACGTGGAAAGATCAAAGAAACCAGTTTTCTGTTTGAAATTTAACGCCAAATCTCATTTTAGAAATATAAATGTAAATGTTTGTTTGGACTTGCCTCTATAACACAGGCTAAATGATTTGACTGAAAGTATGTTTGACGTGTACATTGAAATAAAATCACCCTTTACCCTCACTAATTAATCCATTATTGGACATTCATAACACCTGAGATCAGCCACAGTTTTGTGGTGGGGTTCGTGTTGCTCAGTCTTTAGTTTTCTGTCTTGTGTTTTGTGTACTGTTTTTTGTCTTTGTCTTTTTTTTTTTTTGCCATGGTGTTGTCAGTTTATTTTTTATTTTTCGACTTATGAGTTTGAATGTCCCTTTGGTATCTTTCGCCTTTCTTTTTAATAGTGATTACCATCTAATTCACATCATGATTTTATCAGATAACAATACGGATTATAACAATCGCTTCACTAAATATGGTAATTTAATTCAGTCGCATTGCGGGTGTTCCTACATTTCTGACTTTAATGGTTTATACTTACTAATTGCTAAAATGTTTTTACTAATGGGCGATGGATTGACGAAATCAAAGAGGTTTTAACATTAAGTCGTAAGATAAAAAAAAATCCGATGAATTTTAAGTCATCACAAACATGTCCTTTGATTGAGTTAAGCCATTTCAGTTGATATTTATTAGTGTGTCTTTCTATGTTGTGATGTTACACTATTGTTTCAGAAAAAGGGTGAAGGTTTGGTACCGTTAAAACGTTTAAACCCGCTGCAATTGTTTGCACCTGTCCTTAGTCAGGAATCTGATGTTCAGTAGTTGTCGTTTGTTGATTTGGTTCATAAGTGTTTCTCGTTTCTCGTTTTTATATAGATTAGACCGTTGGTTTTCCCGTTTGAATGGTTTTACACTAGTAATTTTTGGGGCCCTTTATAGCTTGCTGCTCGGGAGCCAAGGCTCCGTGTTGAAGACCGTACTTTGACCTATAAAGGTTTACTTTTATAAATTTTGACTTGGATGGAGAGTTGTCTCATTGGCACTCATACCACATCTTCTTATATCCCTGTCCCAAGTCTGGAGCCTGTAGTTCAATGGTTGTAGTTGATTCATGTCGGTAATATTTGTTTTTCGTAAAATGTTTAGTTATAAATTTGGTTGTTAGTTTTCTCAATTGAATTGTTTCATATTTTTTATGTCGGAGCCTTTTATAGCCGACTTTACGGTATGGGTTTTTCTCATTGTTGAAGGCCCTACGTTTGCCTATAATTGCTTACATACACTTCATTTGAACTTTGGTGGATAGTTGTCTCATTGGCAATCATACCTCATCCCTTTATTTTTATATTGTTTATAAAATTAATTTGTTATAAAAACTCATTTTTAAAACCTTGTATAAAATATAAGCACAATATATCGATGACGAATGGTAAATAGGTCTTATATCTTTAGATACTGAAATAGTCGTCTGATCTGTACATTAACACCCGATTGTGATATTGTGACGGAGTGTAAACATCAACGACGTCATAGGCAACATAGCGATAAACAGATTATCAATGGTCTTTCAAACTCGAAGATGTTTCTCGGCCACATCTCATCTCGGGGCTGTCGCTCATAGATGAGATTGTAGCTGAGAAACACCCTCTCGTTTTGGAAAACCATCGATAATCTATAAATATCAAAACATTTGTTTTAAAAATATATCAAAATATTGTCATATGATTAACCCTCTTGCTGCCGATTGTTTTACGTTGTTGCATTTGATACACAAGGAAATACGGGAAAATGGCAAAATTTAAAACTTTATTTTACATAGTTTTCTCTTAATTTGAAATTCAAAAAC